GGGGGGGGGGGGGGGGGGGGAGTTTGAAACAATACTTGAGGCAGTGAGTATCGATGTAACAATTTTGTTCAAAAAAAGAATATTTTAAGAATAAAATAGCAAAAATCTTGATTAAATTTAAAGTGCTTATAAGCTAAAAATTCATAAGCGAAAGGTGACCAGCTTAACTTGACTTATAAGTATTTTTAACTTTACCAAATGCGTAGACAAGCCAAAGAGTATTTATAACCTAATTTGACCAGCTTATAAGCTTAGCCAAACAACCTCTAACTCTAAATGAGTACACATTTGTGTGATTTTGCATAATTCTAAGAACAAATTTGACAGTTCTCCCTAAAAGTAACCATGAACACCTTGGTCTAAGTATTACGCCATAAATCCCCAACACGGTTGAACGGTGCCTGACAAGTAGAAAAAACCCCATTCCGAAACAACTGGCAAGTGGGCAGGTTGTGAAAACGAAACGGGTGGCTATGTTCACGCCACGACTCCAATAATCCGCGACATGGCAAAAATCTTTAATTAGTTCTGCTTTTTTCCTTCAACAAGTCAGGGGTCTGGTAGCTGCTTGCTGTACTCCACCAGATTTGTACGTAGAAAGCAAAATAGACCGATCACATAGCAATTAGATTCATTGTACTGGGGACTGAAATTTCACGAACATAGTACTAGTGCAGGAGCAAAGTAGAATTGGTTACTCAGAAGATAACTGATTTGGGAATTTTGAAGGATTTATCTTAAAGTGAGTTATTTCTGTGGTCAGAATTCAAGAAATGAAAAATGATGATGAAGTAGTGTTACACCCATGAAAGGTATATCTTTCTCTGAATCACTATCAGCCTTTGCATTGACATACATTGGCTGTGGTAAATGTAATGGGTATATCAAGCCCAACTATGCTACCAGAATTGTGGCTAAGAAGAGCAAGAATTCCGAGACTCCGTCTCCTAAGGTAGTTTCTCCTTGCTTCCTTTTCCTAATCTTTTTATGTAATGTAACATCTTGTTTATTCGAAATGGGATATATTGGTGCTTACTTTTTTTGAACTGGGATATATTGGTGATTACCACTGTATAGCCGTTCTAAAAAGTAACAGCCGGAAAAAAGTATATTTTTTGTATATAAATTTCTGTATGTTATATAAAAAAATATAAATTTTATACACTTTTGTACTACCGAATGTAAATAATTTCGGCTGTAGGTTAAAAGTGATATTATTTCTTCACTGAGCATGAATAGGGTAGACATGTCTTCTTTTATTTTATTTTTGGACAACCGTGGTATCTAGTTCAGCTTGAGCATATCTCAACTACCTCATCATACACATGTACTAGGTAACTCTGCCCATCAAGGATTAGATGGGTGAGAACAGATCACCTAGGTTTTCTGGTTAGATTTCAACGTGGTCTCCAATGGTTTTCATCCATTTTATTGACCCCTAAGCCATACTTTTTTTTTTTATAACCGTAGTGTTCGGGCCAACTTGCGTGTGCTAGACTAATTCCACGGAGATAACTGCTACCTCCCACCAGCAATATGTACCATATAACTCTGTTCACCAAGGCTTTAGACAAATGGGAAGAAATCTCCTAGCGTTTGACCCTTAGGCCACACTCTTGGGTGCAGGTTAGGAATGTGTTTTATCTGGGATTGAATACTCACAAACTGGGGCCTGGTGCAAGAACTGATGACTCAAATGATATGTCATCTAGTCCATTTTTTAAGTATATATGTTCATAAACATTTAGTAGCCTAAAACATGGAACATCACTTTTTGTGGTTGAGGGACTAATGTTAAGTATATGGGGATACTCAACTAGAAAAAGGAAAGTGATCGATCATTTCTCTTGAGGGAAGTTTTGTAAAAAGCACTCGGAGTTGTCATACTCATTTGGTAATCAGTGTCTTCCAATTGAAAATGCACCGGTGACCGTTATGAGCCACATTCAGCAAAGAGTTTCTCGTCTTTGTCCCCATAATACATTATAAATGGCACATTTGAGTTAGCAGAGAAGTTGGTTGCGATGTTGCATCGTGTCTGTTCTAGAATGATAAGGAGCCACTGTCATTTTGGTTTTGGATAATACGAATTTAGAGATATAAAGGTTAATGGGACTTCAACAACAACAATAACAACATACCCAATGTAATCCCACAAGTGGTATCAAGGGAAGGTAGTATGTATGCAGATCGTACCCTACCTTGTGAAGGTAGAAAAATTATTTCCGATAGACCCTCGGCTTAAAGAAAGCATGGTCACAGCAGACGATAAAGAAATACGGAAATGGAGAAGCTTTAGAAAAGAAACATTTATAGCGCCGGCAAAATTAGAAAATCGAAGCAAAATAAATAACATGTAATAATAACATCTACGAATGGGAAATACGAGAATAACACTAGTACTATAGTAAGGGAACGAGATACAGATATGGAAAAGAAAAACGCTTGACTACTAACTAATCCACTACCTTAATCCTCGACTGCCACATCCTCCTATCGAGGGTCATGTACTCGGTAAGTTGAAGATGTGCCTTGTCCTGCTTGATCACCTCACTCTAGATCTTCTTCGGCCTACCTTTACCTCTCATTGGACCCACCATAACCAACCTTTCGCACCTCGTCACTGGGGCATTTGTGCCTCTCTTTTTCACATGCCCAAAACATCTCAGCGTCACTTCCCTCATCTTGTTCTCCACATATACCTCTCCAACCATACCTCAAATATCTTTATTCCTAATCATATCTCTCTTAGTATGCACACATCCATCTCAGCGTCTTCATTTTTGCTACTTTAATCTTCTGAACCTGGAACGTCTTGACTAGCCAGTACTTCACCCCATACAACATAGTCGATCTAACAACCACTTTCTAGAACTTACCTTTAAGTCTTGGCAGTACATTCTTATCACATAAGACGCTGGATGCGAGCCTCCATTTCATCCATGCCACCCCAATACGGTAGGTGACATCCTCGTCGATTTTCCCATTACCTTGAATAATTGACCCAAGATACTTAAAACTATTTCTCTTGGGGATGACTTGTGTATACAGCCTCACCTCCACGCCTGTCTCCTGGGTCACGTCACTGAACTTGCACTCCAAATATTCTGTTTTAGTCCTGCTCAACCTGAAACCTTTAGACTCTAGGGTCTGCCTCCAAACCTCTAGCATTCACATCGCTTCACTTCTCGTTAATCAACACTATATTATATGTAAATAACATGCACCAAGACACCTTTACTTAGATATGTCGCGTCAACTCATCCATCATCGAGGCAAATAGGAATGGGCTAAGAGTTGATCCCTGGTGCAACTCCATCACGACTCGGAAGTGTTCCGAGTCTTCCCCCACTATCTAATTGATGCCACCACAATAAATTTAACCTTCCTTTCCCTCTAAATTATAATATTCCGATTACCTCGTTAATTTTAGTTTTAAACTAACCTCCACTATATTTCAATATTTCATCAAGAGGATTTTCTTTCTCTGTTGGACTGCTTTTTAGTTATAAACCAATTAATTTAAAGATACTTATTGCTTTGTAGTTTATATAACAACAACAACATACTCAGTGTAATCCTATAAGTGGGGTGTGGGGATGGAAGTGTGTACGCAGATCTTACCCCTATCTTGTGCAGGTAGAGAGGCTGTTTTCAATAGTCCCTCGGCTGAAGGAAAGCAAAAATCATAGCAGTTTAAATGAAATACGATGGCGAAGAAGACATGGAAAAAGAAGCATTAACAACAAGATAATAAGAGAGCCTAAACATAAGAAACATCAGGTAGTAATAGAAATTTAAGACTAAGGGAAACGAGAATAATATTAGTACTACTGATAAGGGGAAGTACGCTCGACAACCTACTAACCTTCCCACTCTAATTCTAGACCTCCATACCCTCCTATCGAAGGTCATGTCCTCAGTAAGCTGAAAATGTGCCATATCCTGTCTAATCACATCTCCCAAATACTTCTTTGGTCTACCTCTACCTCTCCTTAGACCCACCATGGTCAACCTCTCACACTTCCTCACTGGGGCATCCGTGCATCTCCTCTTACTTTCTGCTTTGTCCTTATTGTAAATCTTTAATTTCTTTCCGACATAGTTTTCTTTTATCATAACAAATTCGTTGTACAAATTGTTGCCATTGTTTTAGAAATTAAGAGTAAATAAATAAATAAAAATCTATAACGTTATGTCAAATTTCGAAAAATCAAAATTTCGTATCGTATTTAATCTAGAGAATCATCAGTTCTAAATTGTTATAGAGATTTCGATCAACAAAGAGAAAGGAAATAAAATCTACTATAGATTTAGGTTGTCTGGTTGGTTGTACTTTATTTTAGAATGTAAAAAATTACTAGGTCTATGAAGTAAAGCACTTGTAATTACAAACTAGAGGGAAGATTGTATAATTGGACTTAAGGAGTAACAAGGAAAGATAGCTAATATATGGGTAATGGGATATGATGCAAAGTTTTGTTTTGATCATGACCCCTGGAAATCTCAAAATATAAGTACCCTAAACGCTCATTCATTATTCAGCAGTTGGAAGAGAAGTAGTACTTTGTTTCCGATACCATAGTCATAGGATAGAAATGTACAGAACTTGGCATCATTTTTTTACCAAAAGAATTTTTTTCTTCTTCTTGAAGTTCTCTAAATGGCTTCCTTGTTAACAAGTAGTACAATATTTGTGATGTCTTGGATAAGGTGAGTTATCAGAAAGGATAGATGCATGAAGAAACACTAGCTAGCTTTGTCAAATTTACAGATAGTCCATTTGTTTTGAAGCGATGGAAAATGCTCTTCTGGCTATGCAAGTGCTAGAAGTGGATTTTGAGCAAAATTTTCATTGAGTGCTGGAGCTGGTCAATTGAAAAGTTATCTGGGAATCAATCAAAAGTATAATTGAGAAAATCTCATTACCTTTAAAAAAAAGAACAAATTGAGAAATTCTTAAATTGGACACAAATTGACCGTTGCTGAGAACTAATTACAGCAAACTGTTGTTTGGATGGCATGGGATACCAAACCATGTGGTAATCCTTTGAGTGGAATTCAGTCCTAGTTCGCCAATCTTTCCCAGTGTTTTAAACGATATTTGCTTACTTTTTACAATTTTTAAAATACTTTAATAATTCCACCTAGAAATGAAAAGATCACTGTTTAATTTGAATGTCCAGCTAAGTCATTTGAATCTTACGAACTTTACTTCTTCAAATAGGATACTGAGACACCTCCTCCAAGGATTACATCAAACTTGAAGCAGAATTTGCAGTTCCTAAGATTATGGAAGGTCAGTCTTCAGTTAATATCAATGGAGCCTATAAATATATTTTGTCGATCCCTTTCAGCAATTCATGTTGTGGAAAAATCCTTTAGGACTTCCAAAAGAGAAAGTCCAGTACACCGAAGCCTGCTACCAGTTATCGTAAGAAGAGGGTGGAGAAGGAAGAACTGCCAGAAGATGAAGAGATCTACCGTGATCCTACTTTAGCACTATACTAGTAAGTCTTTTCCAGGTCTTGTCTAGAATGAATTTTCCCATTCAGTAGACATCATAATGGGTGAATTGAAAAGCTACTTGTTTTCCTTGAACTTTCTGTAGTACAAATCTGGTCTTGGATGGTGCTGTTCCCGTCTTGCTCGTTGATGGATATAATGTGTGTGGATATTGGCCAAAGTTGAAGAAGCATTTTATGAATGGAATGCTTGACATTGCTCGTCAAAAGCTTCTTGATGAACTTGTATCATTCAGTTTGCTAAGAGGTTTGTTTTTTCCCTTCAATGAGCCTGTTTCTGTCACATAAACGCTTGTTAGAGCACATGTGGTCTTGCCCGGCTCTACAATTGCATGAATAAAAGGTTTCCAGCTGGGATAAGCTTAACTTTCTTGATTCTCAATCAGATATATGCATCTCAAGAATTACTTGAAAAAGCGAATTCCTTCTTCTAATAGTTGTATTTTATGAACTAGTCATCAGATACAAATTCTGCTACTGTTTTCTATGAGGTGACTTTTCTCTAACACTTGTTATATTTTTCTTCCTAAGCTATATGTTGGAGTTTTCTTCTGTTTTCCATCAGATAGTTGGCATCTAGCATACGAAATAAGCTGGTATAAATCCCATATGCTCAACTAGTTGTTCTTTGTATACTTTGTTCATGTCTAATCACTTGTCGATGGGTTAAAATGTCGCCATCTCATTTCAGTATATTGCAGAGGTGAAAGTGGTGGTTGTATTTGATGCCATGATGTCTGGACTACCTACACACAAGGAAAACTTTGAGGGGTAATTCCTATTAGACAATCAAAAGCAACCCCATAATTATGTTCTGTGGATATATTTCTGTATGATACAAGTGATATCTACTAGTAGTTGAGAATAGGTTTTCGAGCTAAAGGAAAATTCTAATATTATTGTTATAGTTACTATTATTTATATATCTAATTAACTTATTTTTTTACTTTTATTTTATTTGATATGTTGATGATATGAGTTGAGCTTAAATGAAAATGTGAGGATTCATATAGCCGATCCCCAACTTGTTTGGGACTGAAGCATAGTTGTTGTTGTTGGATGCATTTCTGTCTGATGGACACACGCAGAATTTGCTATTATTTTTCTGCTCGTTCTGTCATTGTTGTAGTCTCAACTTATGAAGTCAGATTCTTTTCCTCCTTTCTTAAGGTAACATGTGGATATGCTGTTGCATACTAATGCTGCATGCTATTGGTTGTAAATAGCAAATCAGTGACACATGCTCGTGAAATATTCTTGGGCCCTGATGCGATATCATGTCTATTTCATATTCACTTGCTTCATTGTTGCTTAATATTACAAAATGATTTTAAGTCTTGAATTGAATATACTTTCAAGAATTTTCTTATTATGGTTATTTTCAGTCTATTTTTTCTCCACTTTTGAGATATTCAGGTGATCTAAAGAAGAAATCTGATTTTATAATCATATTTTTCATGTTGGTGGTTATTTGATTAAGAAACCAAACTTGTAATGGTCAATCTGTAATGACACTTTATTTATGTATCTTCTTGTCCTATTGAATGCAGTCTAGAGGTAGAGTTCCATGACCAGCTACTTCTTTTGCAGTGTTGATGTAGTATACTCAAGTGAAACATGTGCTGATGCATGGATTGAGAAGGAGGTGAGAATGTGATGAAGCTCAATTTTAGAGAAGATTTATCTTTTTTTATTGTCAAGTTGGTGAGTAAATGACTTTAAGTAGTACTAGAAGTCTGTTATCTTGATACTCCTTTTTGATGGTAGAGTCTTTCTGCAAGAATAATTGCAAAATGAATGCTCAGTTCGCATTAGAAGTTAAAAACAAAAGTTGGATCGTTGCTTTGAGTTAGTATGGGTTGATGTTCATCTGTTCTTACCTTTTTATCCGTATCATAAGTTCAGTGCTGATTTTGCTGTCAAAATTTTGCATTTATTGGATCAAGATGGTGCACTTCTGTACTCATCCTTTTTTAAAAATAAAAAATACGCCATGTGTAGTTTATTCCAAATTAAAGCATGGTATTCATGTGTCCTAATATTTCCTAGTCTGTTGCTGACATTAGAGTTTGGACCACGAGAGGTTGAAGGGGAAATAGTATTGGGCATGGTTGGACTTGAAAGTTACCTCTCCATTTTTATTGTGATTTGCAACACCACCATTAGATGCAAAACTGGGGCCTTAAAATGGATATCAGAAACTGGTTTGCTTGATTCACATACCTTTATCTGTAATAATTTGTTGATGATGCACTGATCGATTTGTTGTCCTTAACATTTAAAGGTGGTTGCATTGAGGGAGGATGGGTGTCCAAAAGTCTGGGTTGTCACATCTGATCACAATCAGCAGCATGCAGCCTATGGAGCAGTAGGTACTTCTACCTTGTGATATGTGATCTAAAAGGAAAAGAACAATTTGTTCCACTATTACTCCACTTCAAGTTGCACATTTTGCATCTATTTGTTCAAAGGACATTGTCTGGATTTAAATAGTTCTTTGTTAGTGTTACTTATCAAATAAACAAAAAAAAGGTGCATGATTACTAACATCACCTCTTGAATCAGAAGGCAGAAACAGACTTCTTTAGCTGGTATTTTGAGTTATCTGCATGCTGGTTTTAGATGTCAGGATCTTTCTTATGCTAGTTGAAGTGCACCAATAACTTTTCCCTCTGCTCCAATCTGATTATATATTTATCATAGCACTGAAGCATTTCAACATTTTCTGGTACTCTAATCTTCTATGAAAGTAAAAGGATTAGCTATCTGTTTCAAATAAAAAAAAAAACAAAAAAAGTAAAATGTATAGCTATTTCCGCCACAGTTAGCAGCCTCCTTTCATCACCATTCATTCTCTAGTAGTCTAGCCTATACATCCTTTGGGTAGAGACTGATTTCCTTGTTCAAACTTTGACGGTTTTACCAGGGGGCTTTTGTTTGGAGCTGCAAGGCATTAATCTCTGAGGTAATGTGCAAATATCAGCTTCTTCATTGTACTCGCATAAATCCTTTCATCTGTCAATTTGCTTTGTTACTTTATGTCTCGAAACAGAAGGAAAAGGAAGTTGGGAGTTCAATAATTTCTCTCTTGTTTCTTCTGCATAATGAAGAGCAAAGATAATAAAAGTTTGTTTTGTTTTACTTGGGCTTTATTTCGTTGAGTGAGAAGAAAAGTTTGTATGTATTCTATTCCGTACTCCTTACCCGAAGTAAAGGAAAATAAGTTTCTTCAATTTTTCTTCCTTTCTCACTTCACTACTTACCCGAAGTAAAGGATAATAAGTTTCTTCAATATTTTTTCATTTTTCACTTTTTACTTCCCTCCCTTAGTATAACCTTATGTTATGATCTGCGTTGCAAGATGTTTGGTTAGCTTGTAAGAGTTACGATTGAGGAGATCGCAGTGGTCCTTTATCCTTATTATTTCTTTGAACTGAAAAACAATTGAGTCTAACTCTTAGCTCCACTTGCTGCTTGGGTCCCAGGGTCAATCTTGTAGCGGGTAGTATGATTTTCCACAGGATTCCAAATTCTGTTTATCTACTTGTGGGGAGGTTTTGTCTTGTCAAAGTCAAACATGACCAGCATCAGTGCACCCTGTGTAGTTAAGTTAGCTTGGTCTATGGCTCCATGCTATGGCAATTTGATCATTTAAGAACATAAAGGAAAAGCTTGTGGGTGGGCAATGATTGGATTGGTCATTTTCTTCTGAAACTAATTATTACTAATCTGGCTAACTCATGACTGAATTGGAAAATATTCTGAAATTTCAGAAACCTTCAGTCTTGTGAAACCAGGAGAGGTATTGCTCCAGAACACAATCATTGGTGTGGGACATGTCTCAAACTAAACATCCTAGTTCGCAATATGCACCCTGCTTCTAGCCTGGTCCATTCAACTATTATTGTACCTTACCAAGTAATACTCTACATAACAAAACTTATGATGTGCAGGCCTATTGTTCCTTATCTGTGTAGTTCCCAGTAAAACAAAATGTATTTCTAGTCTTCGGCGATGGAAAAAGAAAATTAAAGAAATGAAATTTTCCAAAAAATTAAACAGAATTAAAAATGCAAAGCAAGTTGAAGACTTTGCTTGTTTCCTTCTCCATCTCCTTTCCTTCGGGAAATTTGTTGCCCCTCAACTTATAACGGCCTTGTTATCAAAGGAGCTCCTTGAGTTAAAAAAAAAAAGAACTGACGTCATAGATGATAGTAATATAGCTTCATTTATTTTATAAGGGATAGTAAAATAGTATTAAGAGGTTACGTGTCGCTTTCCTGTTAAATTTAATGGACCATAGGGTCCAACATAAAAAAGGGATGTTCGTGTTCAGAGGCTTCCTTTTTCTTTTCCAAAATATCTCATTGTTTATAGTTCTTTAATATTTGTAATTCTCTTTCTTTTTCTTTCCCCTTTTTCCCTTTCTTGATCCTCTTTTGTATCTTCTTTCCTTCTCCATTTCTTTCTAATGGAAAAATACAAGAGTTGATCCTCAGCTTAATGGGCTAAACTTAAGGAAAGGGGTTTGTTGAGTCCGAAAAGGAAGTTCACGGGCCTAGATCAGAGTAATAATAGTATAAGAGCTTATGTGATACTGTTCTGTAAAGTTTTCTTCTGTCCCTTATGTATTGTGTAGAAGAACTTACTGATAAAATTGTTTTTTGTACAATACCTCTACAACTCTGTAGAATAGTCTTCTTTTGAGTCTATCTTACATTTGGACTAGAGACCAAAGAATAGACCACTGTAGGCTTTGGCACCTTTTCCTACTTTGTCTTAGTTCAAATTGTCTAACAAATGTATTATCTCATGGATATGAAGAATAGGTGCTTGAATGTTCTGATAAAGTGTTTGCGCTAGAAATAACAACTACTGCTATGTATAATCTGCTCCCTATTTCTGATGTTATTTCTCTGATCCTTTGAGATAATGTAGATCAAAGCTTCACATAAGGAGGTTGAGAGAATGCTGCGGGAACATAGGTATGTTGCGTAGCTTGAATTTCTTTCATTTCTTCTCGAATCTGGAGATTCCCCACCTCGTTGGGTGGGAAAAAGATTCATCTGAATGGTATTTGCAAAAGCTTGACGGCACTCACATTTTCCATATTCTTCTTTACCTTTCAATGAAATATATTTAAAACAGGGGACGCTAGTTTGCAATTATATGTTCTTGTACTTACCTTACACTTTTTTGTTGTAAAGCATATAAGGTGCCAAGCTATTTTAAAGAGAGTTTTTAATAATATATATGACTTTTGAACCTGTTTAAAGTTGTTTTAAAGTCATTTTTTGTGATTAAGACTTTATGCTCATTCTAGTTGAGGTTTGGAAGGACATTGCAGAATCCTTCATCTTTCTTACGGCAAGTAGGTAGAAGTCATTTAGTACTTGACCGCTTGAGCCCCTAGTCCTCAGCTAAGCCACTAAGAATGTAAAGTCTAGCATGTTAATGAAGTCTAATGACTTTCCAGTCAGTTCTTGTCTCTTTTGATATGACAAAGAAAATGCTACTTTATGCCTGACAAACAAGTTTACCCTGAATCAAGGATCAAGGGCGCACGTTAACCATTGGTCTCGGCGCACAATAGCAAGGAATGCGATTGTGACCGGAAAACGATGGCTCGTCGCCGGAAAACTGTGCAGGACACCAATTTGCAGTCGGGGAAGCTAATCACTCCAGCAAATGACATACAAAAGGAACTACCACCACTCACATTTGGGAGTTTTCTACCGCAGAAATACCAATCTATTGAGGAAGTTCATGAAACTAGCTTTCTGAAGGTGATGTGCAACTTCAATCTGTCAAAGCGGAAGGAACAACACTACAGGCAGCTCAGCGATTATAGTACTCTGAAGCGGGTGGGTCGGGGAAACCAACTCCTACAGCAGCTGACATTGTATGAGGGAATCGCTGCTCACAAATGGGTAAACCCTTGTCTTTTGTTCCTCCAACTGATAGTGATGGTAAACGAATTGTCAAATTGAGCAAGGAAGATTTACAATCCCAGGCAGATTATTGGAAAACCTTGCTAATTGGGTACATAATAGGAGAGAATCCTTATGAAAAAGCTATGGAGAGTTTTGCCGTGAACGTGTGGAATTTTGTCACTAAACCTCATATCTGAATTCACTCCGAGGGATATTGTATTTTCAAATTTCACACCATAGCCGATATGGATCAAGTACTACAGCCAGGGCCATATACCTTTAGAAACAAACTAATGGTGCTGAGGCTATGGGAAATTGACTTCTCATTCAATAGAGACATTCTAAGCATAGTGCCGGTTTGGTTGAGATTCCCTAGTTTACTAGTAAGGTATTGGGCGACTCAGGTTTTAAGCAAAATGGCAGTGTTGTAGGAAAATCCCTATACACTGATAAGTTCACTGCTCACTATGAGTAGATATCATATGCTAGGGTTCTTGTGGAGATAGATGCTGCATATCCTCTTCCAAACCAGCTAGAGATAGAGTCACCTTTTGGCCCTATGATACAGAATTGGAGACACTTTTTTTTATAATGATTGTCTGAAATTTGGACATGATTCCTCTGAATGTTGGCACAACAAGTGCTGTGATGAAGGGGAGGATCACCAGGAAGGTGAAAGGCCAAGGAGGAAGAGAAGAAGAGCAAAGAAGCCAGCAAGGACTATAAAGCAGGCATGGCCGGTGAAGAAACCAGAAGTGAATGCTGGTAATGCTCCAGAGCCACATAGTGATGATGCTCTGCAAACAAGCCCTTCTAATCTGCCTGAATGCACTGGTTTTGCTAGAAGGAATATGGACCCTGTATCACATGATGCTCCTGTGCCTTGTCATGGCAAAGATGGGGAGACTATACAGAGTGCCACACACTGTGATCCTGTTATCGAAATGATGCACTACAATGACAAAGGGAAGGCAGCTGCTGAGCCAAGGCATGCTGGGAGAAGAGGGCAACAGGTGGATCCAGGTCCAACATGCTCTCCAATTCACAAGCCCCCATGATCATCGCCACTTGGAATACCAGGGGCCTGAACCAGGCCCATAAGTAGAAGGAGGTAAAAATCTTTCTGGCTAAAAATAAGGTAGATATAATGGGGTGTATTGAAACCAGAGTTAAAGAACATTAGGCTAAGAAAATACAAAAAGATTGCCCTGGAGTGGAATGTTTGTTGTAACTATTCTCTTGCTGCTAATGGTAGGATTTGGATTCCGTCGAGAGCTCATGCTCATGTTCAGATTTAGATGATTCAAACTACAGATCAATTCATCCATTATCCAGTGGACGATACCAGAACTTAGTTTACAACATATCTCAGCATCATATATGCCCAGAATGATCGCCAGCAAAGGGAGACTTTATAGGGGGATCTTATGTGCAGGCTCATATCCCATGGCTACTTAGTGGAGATTTTAACAATGTCCTATCTTCTGATGATAGAATAGGATCCCCTGTAACACAGGGATTCAAAGATGTGATTGACTTTCTGCAGCTTACCCCCCTTAGAGCTAAAGGGTGGCACTTTACTTGGACAACCAAACAAGGAACTGATTCAAGAGTGTATAGCAAGATAGATTGGGCTCTGGGAAATTATCAATGGATACAACGATATGGTCAAGTGGAGGCAGACTTTTTGAAGCCTTCAGTTTCTGATCATTCCCCTATCCTAATCAAATGTGGTGGATAGAAACTATTACATCCTAAGCCATTTAGGCTATACACAAATGTCATGGATCTTCCACAATTCCAGAGTATTATTCAGCAAGTGTGGCAACAAAATCATACTAGCACACCTATGCAACAGGTCTGGTGCAAGCTGAAGGTTATGAAGGTGCAACTGCAAGCTTCTAATGCTTATATGGCTTCCTACAAGCAAAAACTTAAGCAGGCAAGAGAGAGATTGGCTATTGTCCAGGACCAGGTACAGCAAGATCCTTTAGCCCAGAACCTGTTTGATCTAGAAAAAGACACACTAGCTGACATTGAGAAATGGAGTAATATTGAGGAGCAAGTTCCGAGACAGAAATCTAGGGCATGTTGGATTGAGTGTGGTGATGCTAATACTAAATACTTCCATGCCCAATGGAACATCAGATCCAGCCAGAATAGTATAACCTCTATATATACTGACACATGGATAAAGGTTACTGATCCAAAACTGGTTGAGCAGGAGTTTATTAGAGTCTTTAGATCCTTGATGGGTGATTGTGCTACTGAACTGCCTTGTGCAAACACAACTATAATCAAGGATGCACCATGTTTAACTGTGCCACAACAGAGAGACTTGATACACGAAGTAACTGATGTGGAAATCACTGCAGCAATGTGGGACATGCCCAGGGATAAAGCACGAGATGTTGATGGGTTTCCTATTGAATTCTTCACTAGAAACTGGAACATAGTGAAGGAGGACCTCTTTGCAGCTGTTAAGAACTTCTTTAATACTTGTAGTCTACCTAGGATGATAAATACTACAGCAATCACTTTAGTACCTAAAGTCCCAACACACTTCAACAGTCAAGTACTATAGGCCTATTGCATGCTGTGCTACCTTGTATAAGGTCATCCTTAAAGTCATCGCTAGAAGAATCAAGACTGTTCTTGATGGTTTGATTGGACATTCCCAAGGTGTATTATTGATGATATATCTTACTTAGTCATGAGCTGTTTAAAGGGTACTACAGAAAGGGTATCTCACCTAGATGTATGTTGAAGGTAGACTTGAGGAATGCTTATGATACTCTTGAATGGGGATTTCTCAGAAGAATGCTTGTTGATCTTGGTTTTCCCTTCAAGTTTGTGAAGTGGATAATGGCATGTGTTATTACATTATCGTACTCTTTGATGCTTAATGGAGGCCTAACCACACCTTTCAAAGGCAAAAGGGGATTAGACAAGGAGATCCAATGTCTCCATACTTATTTGCCATTGCAATGGAGTACTTGGGAAGATAATTGGGCCAATTACACAAGAATGGGGACTTTAACTTTTATCCTAGGTGCAGGAAGTTAAATAGTACACATATTTCTTTTGCAGATGATCTCCTGATGTACTGCAGAGCTGATATTGAATCTATAAGGATCTTGAATGTTGCTTTCCACAGATTCTCCGTTGTTTCTGAACTGGAGGCAAATGTGGATAAGAGTGCTATATACATGGCTGGAATTTCATCATCCTTGAGGTAGGAAATCCTTGCAACTCAGACTTTTCTGAAGGAAAGCTTCCTTTCAAGTACTTGGGGATTCTTTTAGACTCAAAAAGGCTATTTGTTCACCAATATCTATCACTTATTGAGAAAATTATTGCAAGGATCACCTGCTGGTCGGCTAAGCTCTTATTTATGCTGGTAGATGTCAACGGATAAAGGCTGTCATCTTTGGTATTCAAACCTACTGGGCACAGATATTTGTATTCCCAAAGAAGGTTACGAAGTTAACTGTGACAATATGTAAAACTTTCCTATGGACCGGTGCTGCTTCTATTTCTAAGGGAGCACTAGTGGCATGGGAGAGGGTATGCAAGCCAATAGCTGCTGGAGGGCTCAATGTACTGGGACATCAAACTATGGAATAAAGCAGCAATCATAAAACACTTATGAGATATAGCACGAAAGAAGGATTGCCTATTGGTAATGTAGGTACATAGCTTCTATATAAAAAACAAGGACTTAAAAACAATGACTACACCAAAGACTGCATCTTGGGTGGTGAGGAAAATATTAGATGGCAGGAACTTGATTATGGAGCACCAACAACTTCAAGGAGGCATCCACAACAGGCTACAATCCATGTCTACTAATACAAAGTTCCAGATAAAGCAGATGTATCTGAAGCTGATACCAACATATCCCAGAGCTGAATGGAAGAGTTTGATGCTGCACACAAGCATCCATCTCAGATATAAATTCATTCTATCGCTTGCAGCACAACATAGACTAGCCACAGTGGAAAGACTGGTGAAGATTGGCATCCAAATTCCTACCGCCTGTGCATTCTATGGACATAGCCTGAAATCATTTAGCCACATTACAAAGCAATTGTGGTCCAGGTTATGTTCGTGGTTGGGGTATAATAAGAGAATTGGTGATTGGAACACAGAATTGGAATGAGCATGCAAAAAAGCCAAGAGCAGGAGCAAGTGCTATTACCAGCTGTGTGTTTGCCATGATTGTTGCATTGATTTGGAGAGAGAGGAACAAGATTAGATTTGAACAAGCTGGATTTGATGCTTCTAAAATCTGCAGGGAGATAGTACTGCACCTGCACACCAGAGGAAAGGACATAGCCAAGTGGAAAAGAGCACTGCAACAGTTGAACTGGTTTCCATGGATAGTTAGCTGATACAATGACCACTAGGAGATCCTTGATGTAAGAACTGAAATGCTATTTGTGTCAATCTGGGAATGATTATAGGATAGATAGACATTGGAATTGATAGAAGAAGAGTGTGATATATATTTGGAGTAGCCCGTCAAAGCTATTCCTCGGACTTCATTGTACATGTTTTTTGGTATCAATAGAATATAATGTTTATTTAAAACAAAAAAAAAACAAATTTACCCCAGAACTAAAAGACTTTTAACAGTACGCACCTCACAAAACTGCCTTTAAGCTAAACTGAGAGGCAATTGTTTTGTTGTGAATTATTTTCTTGGAGTTTAGTTTTAACTCAGGACACATAATCACAATTTTTTATGAAAAAAGTTTGTCAATTCACATTTATGATTGTATTTGCGCAATAAAATTGGAAATGGGGTAGTGATGTTGCTTAGTTTTTGTTATCGCTTTCTGTTTCACCCCACCCCTTGAAAAAGTTATCATTTGAAGAATATAGCGGACATTTCAATCTCATCACCCATATATAACTGTCGAGTTCAGGACACATTTTCCTTTTCCAGCTGTCAAACTAATTGGTGAAACTAGTAATGGGAAGTCATAGTATGACTAATCGATGGCAGTCTTGATTTCGCACATTATATAATTTTATTCACATCTAGCGCATTGCTAATAGTGTCATGATCTATTGATTTTCTTTACAGATCTACTTCTATGCAAGGTAAATTGCTAAAGCACAACCTTGATTCAGAAGTTGTGGATGCTCTCAAGGACCTCAGGGACCAGCTTTCTCAAAATGAGACACGCAGGTGATAGTAGTTTCCCGTGAGATAATATCCGAGACGAAGCCAGAATTTTAAGCCAGTGGATTGCAAAATCATCATTACACTCACTACTTTGTGACAGTAGTTTTGATATCAGTATAAATTTATGCATTTCTAAAAATTATTAACTGCGTATATGCATATTGCGCTGATGCTGCCTTCAACAGTGGGTTATATCCTCCACTTCGTGCTTACCTCAAGGAGATGCAAACATTTACTTCTTGCTTTCCTTTTTGCTAATTCAACACTAGTCTCAGAAAAATTGTTGTATTTACAAAGTATCCTTCTACATTGTACAGCATCCTCTAATTTCAGGGAGTGGTATATAAGTTGGATCAGTTTATTCTTCTAGCTGTGATGTTTTTAGTATTGCAAACATAATGTCCCATCACTTTTTGAGACTTATTTCCTGCTGCAACTCTATGTCATTTTATTCTGAGTAACACCTAGTTAGTGTACTGCAGTACAAGAAGGATAATAGGAGGCAAAAGAAAAGGGTAAGATTTTGAAAATACGAATTACGTGATGATTGATACAAAATACTAGATGATTTGAGCATCATATTCTGCAACCCTTTCATTCTTTTTGGAAATAATAGGAACATGCATTTAACAACTGAATATACCTGGACGTATGACTTTTTAGTTGCTAGTACTAGGTGTGGATTTATGTTCTTAGGGTTGAGGGGTCTTCTTCGGCCTATCATTATGTGAAAATAGTATGGGCTAGCCCGTTTTAAAACTGATAATTGAAAAATAGTCAGTTATTGAAAAATAGCTACTATGAGGTTAAATATGGACAATAATACCCTAGCTGAAATATGGTAGATTCACTACTAAAAATCCGGAAAAAAGCGACCAAAATTTGGCGACCAAAATTGGTCTGTCAGGAAAAGCGACCAACGTTGGTCGCTAAATTGGAGAAAATAATTAAATAATTATTTTAAATACATTAGCGACCAAGGTTGGTCGCTTTTTGGTCGCTAATTTGGTCAAAATGTTGACCGGACTGGTCAGACTTGCTTGGTCAAAGAAATGCTGAAATTAGCGACCAAAGTTGGTCGTTAAAGTGGGACCCACTTATAAAATTTTAATAATTATATTATTATTTAAAATAAAATTTTAAAATATAAATAAATAGTCAGATTCAAGAATTAGCGACAAAGTTGGGTCGCTCACGTAAAGCGGAAGGCAGATAGAAGACCAACTTTGGTCGCTAATTTGGGAACCCAGTTTATAAAATTAAATAAATTATATTTATTATTTAAAAAAAATTTATTAAAATATAAATAAATATAATTCAAAATTAGCACAAAAAGTTGTCGCTTACTAAAGGGGAAGCCAGATAGAGACCGACTTTGGTCGCTTAATTGCTGGGACCCAATTCTAACGTTTTAACAATTATACTTATTAATTTAAATATTATATAAAATATAAATTAAATCTATTTAATATTAAGCGACCAACTCGTTGGTCTGCCTAATTTACATTTTCTGGAATATTTAGCGACAAACTTTGTCGCTAATTTGAATTTCTGGACAATTAGCGACCAAATATTGGTCTCTTTTCAGGTCACATTTGGTCAAAATTAAAAATCACTTTTGTATTTCTTCTAAATTAATATAAATATTAATCCGTAACACTTTTGTGAATACAAGGGATGAATACACTAAAAATATCGTCTAGACATGCTATATTATGTAGTTTAAAGTAGTACAACGAAGGCGTAACACGCTGTTATAATATATCATGCTATATATGTAGTTTACAATACAAATAATGATTAACAGATCATGTCTATAACATGCTATATATGTAGTTAAAAGTAGCACAAAGTGTTATATATATATATATATATTTATATATATATATATAGTATATATTATATACATAATACATTATCATATACATACTAACATATACTATAACAAGTATATATAACGTTATTAGTATTAGCAGTGAAGTGTCTATGAGTGTGTATGTATTATGTGTGTGTGGTATATACCACACACATACACACACACTAACATAATACTATAACAAGTGTTTAGTATGTATATGATAGTGTATATATATATATATATATATATATAGTACTAATATATTATATATATATATATATAATACATATATATATATATATATATATATATATATATATATATATATATATATATACCACACACACACCACACACACAGACACTTCACTATATACATAACGTTTATATAACTTTTATAGTATAGTGTTAGTGTGTGGTATATATATAACACACAACACTAACATATACTATAAACAAGTGTTAGTATATATATAATACAACACACACACACACACACATACACACTCACACACATCACAGAGACACTTCACTATAATACTATAACGTTTATATATACTTTTTTATTGGTTATAGGGATATGTTAGTGGTGTGTGTATATATAACACACACACTTCGTGCTACTGTAAACTACATATATAGCAATGTTATAGTACATGATATTGATAAATCATTATTTGTATTTGTAACAGAGTTAATGAAATGACATTCATTTCATCGCAACTAAAGGTTTATAAGGTCGAGATCAATTATAACATATTAATTAATATAATTCGGTATGTTTTGTTTTTAATCAATTACTCTCTCTCTCTCTCTCTCTTCTCTCTCTCTCTATATATATATTATATATATATAGTATATATATATATAATATATATATATATACACACACACACCGACAGACTTTTTTTTGTCGCTTATAGTAATTAGTAAGTGTATTAGTTATAATTAACTTATAGATTGACATTACACTAAGTATTAGTGCATTAGATAATATTATATCGAATATATATATATATATATATATATAATATATATATATAATATATTATATATATATATATATATATATGACACACACCACAGACACTTCCCTATGAATACTATATATGTTTATATAACCTTGTTATAGTATAATGTTGTGTGTGTATATATATAACACACACACTTCGTGCTACTTTAACTACATATATAGTATGTTATAGTACATGATATTGTATTCATTATTTGTATTGTAACAGAGTTAATGAATTACATTCATTCATCACTAGGTTATAAGTCGATGAATCAATTATAACATATTATTTGATATAAGTCGAGACGTTTTGTTTTTAATCAATACTCTCTCCCTCTCTCTCTCTCTCTCTCTCTTTCTCTCTCTCTCTCTCTCTCTATATATATATATATATATATATATAGACACGCACACACATACTCACACAGACACACACACATATATATATAGGCACACACACACACCAACACACACACACAACACATATATATATAGACAACACACACACACACACAACACACACACATATATATATAGACACACACACACACACATACATTATATATATACTTTTTTTTTGTCGCTATACGTAATTAGTAAGTATATTAGTTGTAATAACTTATAGATTGACATTACACTAAGTATTAGTGCATTAGCTAATATTATATCGAATATAGCTTATATATAATTTGATTCATCGACTTGATAACCTATATAATCTATTAGAAGTAATTAACAAGTTATTATTTTTTTTTAATATTATGCTTATAGTTTTTAATTATTATATAAAATTAATAGTTATAATAAAATAAATATTTATAGCTAATAAGATTTTTTTTATAGCTATAATATATTTAAAAACCAAAATAGAAAAAAAGTTATTTTTAGAAATAGCGACCAACTTTGGTCGCTATTTTTGGTCAAAACAGTCAAAAATAGCGACCAAACGTTGGTTCTCTATTTTGGTCAAACAGTCATAAACTTAATTAGCTACCAAATAGCGACCAACGTTGGTCGCTTTTTTATAAATCCAGACTTAATAACGGGTTTCCCCCTTCCATTCTTCTATTTTCTTCCCAAAATTTCCCCAAATTCTCTCTCAAAATTCCCCTCGCCCTTCTCTATTTTCCCTCAAACAAATCAATCCCCCCCCACCGCCAGCGCCACACACAATGACCGCCTGAGCCACCACCGGAGCCGCGCTGCCACACGCCTGCCCCTGCCCTTTCTCTCCTTCTCCAACCTAAAAAAACCTAGGTTTTGAATTATAACCTTGAATCTTTGTTATTTCTCTATTTTTGTGTTCAATTATTTCAATATTGTGTAGTTTAAGGATATGAATTAATGTTTAAATTCTTTGAACATTGTTTTTATTGAGGATTTAGGGTTATGTCTTTGTTTTAATAGCTTTGTTAATTAATTTTATTAACTAATTAAGTTTATTTAGTGTGAATTTAGTTTTAGTTAGATTTTAAATTATACCTTTTTATTGTCTTGATAGTTTAGTTAGAATCTAGGGTTTAGTTTATGTATTGGAATTTTAAGTTTATTAAATTGAAGTTTTAGGATATTGAATTTGAACTTTTTGTGTATGAGTTGAACTTTTTTGGGATGAATTGAAATTTTTGTGTATGAATTGAAATTTTAGGATATGAATTTGAGCCTTTTAGGATATGCTATTGGACTTTTAGTTTATGTATTTGGAATTTTAGTTTATAAATTAAATTTTAGTATATGAATTGAACTTTTGTGGATATGAGTTGAACCTTTAGGATATGAATTGAAACTTTAGGATATGAATTGGACTTTTAGTTATGTATTGGAATTTTAGTTTATAAATTGAAATTTTAGGATATGAATTGAACTTCTGTGGATATGAGTTGAACCTTTAGGATATGAATTGAATCTTTAGGATATGAATTAAAATTTTTGGATTATGTATTGGAATTTTAGTTTATAAATTGAAGTTTTAGGATATGAATTGAACTTTTGTGGATATGAGTTGAACCTTTATGATATGAATTGAACAATTAGGATATGAATTGGACTTTTAGTTTATGTTTTGGAATTTTAGTTTATAAATTGAAATTTCAGGATATGAATTGAACTTTTGTGGGTATGAGTTGAACCTTTAGGATATGAATTGAACCTTTAGGATATGAATTGAAAATTTTGGATTATGTATTGAAATTTTAGTTTAT